GAGTGTGTGTATATATATATATATATATATATATATATATATATATATATATATATATATATATATTCTCTCTTAGTGTTTTAATGGCATCTCAGTAAACAGGTAAAACATTGATGTTGAAAAATAGACTTTTACTTAAAATACTCAGCATTTAAGGGGTTGAGAGGTTTGTGAGTTGATGAAAAGCTAATAATTAAAAAATGTCAAATTTAAACAATTTGCAAATAATCATTCAATTGAAACACTAAAAACATGACTTTGAGCAAACATTTTATGTTGTTGGGTTTCGGCTTATAAAAAGTTCAGGAAACCCTGTTTTACCTGAAATTACTTATTTTGTAACATGTTGACCTTTAATTAATGATACATTATTAATAATTAGTAAATACGATTTACAAACAGATTTCTGCACAGTCACCTGATTGATCCTTTACTTCTGATCAAGCTGATGTGTATAAGTGTATATGGGTGTGTGCTTGGCTAATCAATGCATGATGGATGATATTTGGATGTTTGCAGTGGTAATGGCCACTTTAGTGTGTGTGTGTGTGTGTGTGTGTGTGTGTGTGTGTGTTTTATTGTGCGAGTGGTCCACAGCGGCTTCAGCGAGCTCCCCGAGATCTCCATATGAAACAGTCATCATGCTACAGTAAATCAAAGCCATCCACAACAGACTAAACAACCAGACTCTGGAAGTTTTATTTTTACAATCTTCCTTTCGGTTTCAACATCTTTTTTGCTCCCTCTTTACTTCTTGTTCTCGCAGGCAATAACAAAAGTGATTTACACATGTTCAACTCTTCCATACAAATTCTTTCCACAAAGCACAAAAAACATTCAAATGATGCAGATCACAATCGCATGACGTCCAGGAGTCCATTCAAAGCTCTGTGTCTATGATGCATTATTAATATGTTACTGAAGCTTGATGGTAGATAGATTTGAGGTTTAGCAGTCAGGTTTTCACTAAATCAACCTCATTTTGTCAGTGTCAACCATATAAGTATAGAGAATTGAAATTAGCAGCATTGCAACCAATTTTATAAAACTGAAAAAAAAGAAAAAGTTTGGGCTTCTGATTGGTCAGTACAGCGATCCAGCCATTATTTAAATCTATATATAAACCGCTATGACACAAAACACCTGCTCATCAAATTAGTGTGCATTTCTGCTTATTTTTGGTGCATAGCAACATTCTGTTATATTAAGGACGACATCTTCATGCTGAAAGATGCCTCTTGACACTAAAATGTGGTTTTGCATTTATTTATTTTTATTAGGTAGTATTTCTTCTAAAAGCAATAATTCAATTCATTAAGTTGAGAATACACTGCATACTGTGTTCAACAACACGCTTTAACAATATATATTCATATATTATATTCATTACATAATCTCTCGTACCTCGTGGTTTGCTTCAGTAAATAATGCATCATGAACAGAGAGACTGTTTCAGTCTTGTGCTGAAATACACCATTTTCCCCCAAATACAGAATGATTAAGCATGTCATGTTTAAGTAATGGTCTTGAACGCTGTTAGAGATCCTCCACAATCCCAGAAGCCTCACATGGGAACCATAAAGAGCATTCCCGAGCTCTCAGTTGAGCGGTTGATTCTCGTCCTGATGAATTGTGGCTATAGTCTGTAAGAATGGAACTCCGGTGAAGTGTGTGGATGGACATATAGCGAGTAAACACTGTCACTTCACACTGTACGCTTCAAAAAAAAAAAAAAAAGCTTCCACTGAAGATCTGCTTGAATTTGACACCGTTTTATTAAAGCATCTGGTCAAGAAACAACCGAACACCCCACATGAAACATCAATCTCAGGTGTTTTGATGCCGAGCAAGCAATGAGTTTCCTTTTCTTAGTTTGTTAGTGTTCAGTAGAAACAGAACTGAATTATGGACGCCTCACAGCTTTTCTGCCAGTGTGAGATGTTTTGGTGAGCATTCTTAAAGGGCAACTCAGCGAAAGCGGGTTTTAACTCCTGAGTGGGTAAATAACCAAGTGCAGCAGTGCTTTGTCGTTCCTTCACAGCGAGGCATGAAGACACTTTCCAGACCCTTCACCCTCTCTGCTCCTCTCTGGTGGAACGACCTGCCCACCTCAAACCGAACTGCTGAGACCATCACAACATTTTCTCTTTTCTGCATTTCTCCTCTACTCCGGCTTGTTTGCCAATCTAGGTTTCTAATAAACCTGCCATTGAATTCTGTGAACATTGTTGGCTCTGTAACAAATAGCTTATGCTTCTTTATTGTAAGTCGCTTTGGATAAAAGCTAAGTGCATAAATGTAAATATAATTGGTAATTTCTGCCACAAATAGTTATTCTGGGTGGTTTCCAGGTGATTGTTCAGTCAAAAGAATATTATGTAACATATTGGCCCGAATATAAGATGACCCTGATTATAAGACGACCCCCCCCCCCCCCCTTTTCCAGATGTACCTTTTGGAAAAAGGCTTTTTAAAAACCAAATCTTGTTTTTTTTCTCAGTAAAATAAGAAAAACATTTTCCAGCCCAAAAATGTTCATACTGTCAATAGTGTAACGATGTATGAAGCACAGCTCACATACAAGAAACTTTCAAATTAAGCAGCCAAATGTATGTGACCTACTTGAAAATAAGCGAAATCTGTGCAGGGAACCTTTTCACACTCATGTGAAACTCCCGATTATGTGGATTGCTATTGTAATGACCAGCATTAAGGAAAAGCATTACAAGTAACGCGAGTTACGTAATCGGATTAATTTTTCCCCAAGTAACTAACGTAATGCATTAGTTTTTAATTTACAAAAATAATGTAAAAAAAAAAATTCAAAGTTTCATATAAGTAATGCCAGTTAGTCTAGTTTCTAATGTGTTGACCGACAGCTCTCCTGTCCTCATGTTGAGAATGAATAAAAACAGTGAAATGCAAACTCAGAATATGACACAAACCTTTAATAATTAAATATGTTAAATAACACAAATATCCTATATTGTATTGTAATGTATTTAATCCCATTTTATTAACCAATGTCTTTGCTTCTGACCTTCGATGATCCAATTCAACCATACTAATGAGCAATAATTACTAAGGATGCACAATATTAGATTTTTGCCGATATTTTTCAATTAATTTTGGCCGATAACCGATACCGACATATTTCCTTTTGTTTGGAAACAACACCAAATCTCTCCTGTACAGAGATCATAAATAATTTTTCATTTTGGATAGTTAACAAAAACATACTTTAGAGAATTAAATAAACAATGACGTTCTTTTATAATGAGAGTACATTGAAAGCTTTGAAAATAACTAGAAAACAACTATAAAGCAATCCTTAACATTCTATTTGAATATTTAACATTTGTAGATGGTTGTACAAATTCTGAAAATCTTATTAAAATCAATATTACGCATTGAATGCATCTGTGTATACAAATGATTTAATTTACAAGTGTCTTGTTTGTGATTTTTATTAATGTAAGCTATACCTTCTGACCTTTAAATCAAACCATACTCGTGATTATGACATCAACTTCTTTATTTAATCAGAAACACAATCTTAATGTTATTTGTGTGTTTTACTTTTATTTTATAACAAGTAGGCCAACAGCGCCCCCTAAGCAAATAAAACGCCTTACCGAACAGGCATTAGGACCCGGGGGAGGCGGCTGCTGCAGGTGCTAGTAACTGCTGACTCTATGACGCTCATTCTGAACTTGCATTCTCAGATTAAATGCTCAAAACAGTGAATCTAATCATCATTCAGGCAAAAGTTCAAGAATGACCACACTGTTGACGATCTTATCGCTATCACACCCTGAGCACATGCGAGTTACTCATCTTATCAGTAAGGCATATCGGCACAAGTTTTCATATCGGGCTGATGCCAATATTTGCATTTTACGCCATTATCGGACAATTTTGATAACATTCCGATAATATGGTGCATCCCTAAAAATTACTTTTGATAAACACAACATTTGTTTTACTTGTTGAAAAGTGTTGAACTTTTTTCTGCTGCATCCTATTCTTCATGCAGTCCAGAATAGCAGCACAGCTACAAGGTTTGTCTGAACCGCGGCCTCTACTGTACAGGCATGCATTCACATTTCCTTCAGCCTGAGGCTATTCATTGAACTTTTGGTGTGAACGGGCTTTTACACTCGCCAAAAATATAACTGTTTTACATTAAAAACAATCAAGCAAGCTCAGCCTAGATGAGAAAAATGTATGCAAAAGTAACGTAACACATTACTTTCCATAAAACCTAACCAAGTAACAACATTAGTTACTTTTTTTAGGGAGTAACAAAATATTGTAATGGATTACTTTAAAAAAGTAACCTTCACTGGCACTGGTAATTTCATCTGCAAAATTTTGCTGAGCAGCAGTAAATGTGACTGCCACCAATAATTAATGCTGATTATTTACCAACTCAGGAGATAATTGCAGTTTGTTTTTACTTAAGGTTACTAGATCCACATATCCACGCTTTCTCATGATAGAAGCCTGTTTGCTAACATGAAGACCATATCTGGAATGAAACATCATCTCCATTGATCCATTAGTGTTAAAGGTTGGTTTCTGTCACCACCGCTGAGCACTCACTGTTGAGGGGACGCTTTTCCAGACAAATGTCTTCCGTCAGAGAGCTGCAGTTACTGGCACCCTCCTGTGGCTCGGAGGTCAACTGCAGCCTCACACGGCTCCTATAATACTATCTCAATGATACTACTGGTTAACGCTGGTTTTAATTAGTCCAATGTACAATTAAGCAAATCCGGTTGAGAGCTGCTGCTTTGATCATGTGTAGCTGTGATTTTAAGAGATTCTTTTTTATTATAAAAAAATCTAATAAACAGGAATATCTCCCACCTCTTTGTTGACGAAGCAGTACAGGATGGCCACGAGCAGACCCTAAAATTACAGACAACAACACACATGAACCTCAACCATCTGCTCTCATCTCACAGCAGATACCATCCATCTCTGTAAACACTCTGATTGAAATGATCTGATGGTGACGGTGGGTGGACGACCTTTGCCCTCTGACCTGGAAGGAGCTGAACAGGAGGTCGTAGAAGAGGCGGATCAGCCTGAGAAGAGACTCCTTCGGCACGGACTCATCGATGACGAAGGTGAAGAGGATGGCGTGAATCCCCAGCAGAGGAATCAGCGTGAGCGTGGACTTGGCCAGCCTGAGCAGAGCGAGAGAGAAAAACACACATTTAATGAGAGCATGAGCTCTGCTTGCATGAAAAAATAACAATAAAAAACACGGCGGTCTTTTACCTGAACTTGTAGTCTGTGTATCTCATCTGATGCGCCTTCAGCTTGGACATCAGAATCTTTATTATACGAATGAATATGATGAAATTAATCTATTCCAGAAGAAAAGAAAGAGAGGAAGGAAGAGAGGTTAAAATCACAGAGACTGACGTGATTTGTGTCATTCAAAAACCACGATATCTCAGTTTCACTACCGTACATGATAACATGTCAAAGCGTAACGCATGAACTAACACACACATCAATGAGATCTCTCTTATACTTATAAAGTTTTGACTTTATAATGCTTTCATTCTGTTCTGTGTAACTTCTGAAGCCTGAGCAGAGTTAGTGTGACAAACACAAAACAAACCACTGTTATAACTGATTAATCTCTCTTATATTTGATTCTTACTGAGTTTAGATGATGAGTGAATTGAACATACTTTACAATTATTTGAATTCATGTATAAACATCTTTGCCATTAAATTGCAAATTAATAAATAATAAATAACAAATAAATGTATTCATAAACATTCATTAATTAATAAAATGCGATCGAGATCTGGCAATTTCAGTTTTGAACAGTTGTCAGATTATTTGTTATATAGATATTTTATCAACTTTTTAAAATGTGCATGCATGTAAATATGTAAATAGGGGAGAGCATAAAGTAAAACATAAAAATATAAAAGCAACTGTAAAGAGTATTATCCTCTAATTAAGGCTCAAATATTCTAAAACAACACAAATAATGACTGAAGGTTTTAATTTAATTCTGCGTCATACATGAGCAAATCAATATTGTTTTCCAAATAGGCTACTTTTCTGAGAACAGAAATCCCGTAGAGTCACATATCGCATACAAAAAGCTGTTCAAAGCCTGTTTCTGCCGCAGTTTTTAAATCAGAACACGGTACAAGCGCAGTACAAATGTGACTCGTGAAATAAATCAGTTATGTTGTGTAGAACCAACATTTCTGTTGTGTTTGTCTTTATTACTTTGTATTATTACTATGCGTTGATGAGTGCGCTGGAGGTCACGCGGAGGTCATAATGTGTTCCTGTGCCCGAGGCTCTCACTGAATGAACACGTCCTCCGATAATATCAGCGTGCAAATGCAGAATCAT